AATGTCTTTTTGACAGCTGCTACTACTACTTCTACTTTAAAAGAATTAAATTTCTATAACTGTAATAAAGTATAGTGTTTAAAATTTAAAAAGCACTTGTTAATTAGTTAAATTAAAAGTTAATTAATAAATAAATTTACAAAATAAACTAACTAAACAACAAACAAATTATTTTAATGGAAGGGATGTATACCTCTAGCACTACAATATCAAATTTCCAACATTTGGTATCCCTCTTGTCTGGTTTAACCTTAAATCTCCTGTGTTAGTATAGTTTCTAGGTTTTTTTCTTTCTTTATTAGTATTATTATTTGTTATTTTTTTTTAGATTGGCAACCACGCTGAAACTCCTTCACACTAGGAAAAGCAATGAAAAAGTTCCTCACGAAATTCCATAAACCTGGTTTCAAAATCTGAATAAAAAGGATTTAAATTTTGAACGTAGGTTAAAACGTTGTGTGACAAATTTGGAAAATTCTGGACCTCCAGTATATTTCTTTAGCTTAACTCAGGAAAGAAAAGCTGAAATGGTTCTTGTTTAAACAAAATTTATGCTGTCATCTGTAAATGCAAACTGACCTCATTAAATTTAGTAAGTAAATCTGTTAAATAGGTAAAATTTGGTTTCCTCTAGATTACACATTTTCTTTTAAAATTAAAGAAACTTAAAACTTTCTTTTAAAATTAAAGAAACCACTTACATCTCATGGACCCCCAAATTAATTTTTGGCTTACGTAGACCCCTTGAGTGAGAGAATATTAACGTCACACTGATTAGCAACACGAGGGCTTTTGGCGACGGTCCGCGTAATTTTGAACCATGGTCAAGTGACGCGGACGACACCTGAGCTGGCACCCCCTCTCCTAACTACCACACCAACGGGAGGACGTTTGAGCTCTCGACAGATTTAACGTGCATCGCTGCCCTACACGGCGAATCTTTAGTGGTACTAGGATCGAACTCATGACACGCTAGCCATGATCCGATGCCTAGACCACTCGGCCACCGCGGCCGTACGTAGACCCCTTGGAGGTCATCATAGACCACTGGGGGTCAATATAGACCACTTTGGAAATCACTGCTTTTTATAGGGTGACATTAATAAAAAAAAATCAAATCAGGGATCATCCTCACGATAGGATACCTATCGTCAATAATCCAGTATATATCTCTAGTTGCACCACTAGCTCAGCAAAGTTCAAAATCTAAATCTGTAAGCATTAATTCTTTTAAAAGTAACATTTTCTGTAACAGTTTTACTCTCTCTTGGAAAATTGACTTATTATCCGTATCGATCATTGATTGCAGTATTCAAATTTTGTCTTTAATATTCCCCTACAAGCTCTAGGGAAACATGAATTACACAAAAACCGCTATCGAAATCTACACAAATATTTACTTTTAAAAAATAAATAAATTTTATCACTAATATTAACTGTTTTGGAAAAATGAGATTATTATTACCTGCATAGATCGATTTAATGCAAATCTAAAGGGTGTTGCCAAATTCGACGTACAAATTCAGAGAAGTGATTGCAGGCAGCATGAGGACGACAAATCATTGGGTCGCAAGCCACGTTTAGTTGGATTAATTCACAAAAACAGTTATGAAGGGTGTGATGTATAGTGGAATGAAAAGGGGGAATAGGAGATTATAATGCCGGTCGGTTCCTGCTTCCATCTGAAAGCTCTTGTCTACCCGCAGACCCGGCTAGGTGTGTGGGAGAAACTGAATAATCACTAGACATGTTTCAATCTAATTAATTTATTGACAGCAAAAGATCAATCAGACACAATAACAGTCCAATTAAGATAACTGATCAGATAATAGAGCGCGGATGTGAGATTCAATAACACGGGGATAATACTACGACCCCGCAACTGAATCCACGACAGCTTAAACACGCTCAATATAAACTAGGTCGCACACTAATAAGCTAACTTCTAATTAAACAAGGCTCATGATACCTGTACTTTTATGAAGCAAGTCTTACACTTGAATTTTGCAGGAAATCTTTATTTGGATTTAATGACTGTCGTTGTATCCACTCTTAGTAATCCTTTTCATGGACAAACGCCAAAATCTCTTAATAATTCCCCGATCCTTCAATCTTCAACTAACAAACTAACTCGTCAACTCACTTGCCAACTCTTTGCTAACTCTTCAAACTCGCGAATACAGAATTTATATAACATACTTCATTTGCATAAACACGCTTTCTTACTCGGCGAAAGTTGGTTGAAATAAATATTTTTCTAAAAGTGTCATAAAGAGATTAGTAGAACCGCGAATAGATCCGTCTCAAGGTAAGAAATACATTTATTAGACGTAAGGCATGTTTAAAGCACAAACAATGCATCATAGATCGACATCAGAAATGTAACCGAATTTGTTAGAGTGCATTTTTTTTGTTTGAACGCTGCACACATTTAAGGTGAATTAGATGCGGTGGGCCTGTTGCTTGGCCTCCACACTTTCCAAACCTCAATCCCTTGGATTTCTACTTCTGGGGCCACCTGAAGTCGCTTGTGTATGAGACGCCGGTGTCTACAGAGAAGGATCTGACTGCGCGGATCGTGGTCGCTTCAACTAGCATCGCAAGCACACCGGAACTGCTTGAAAGCGTCGGACAATCCTTCGTGCATCGGTGTCGGCTGTTCTATGACCTACTCGGCCGCAACTTCGAATAATTCTTGTAACAATTGCTTGTTGCATTTCTGACTTCGAGATGTGACAGATTGTTCGTATTTTAAACATGTTTTACGTCTAATAAATATGTTTCTTACCTTTTACTTTTCATTGCACTATACATCACACCCTTGATAACAGTTTTTACGAATTACTCTCACTAAACGTGGTTTGTGATCCCGTATTCTGTGACGATTTATCGTCCCTATGCTGCCTACTGTCACCCCTCTAAATTTGTCGGTCAAATTTGGCAACACCCTGTATATATATATTGATTCTTTCTCGACCTTTTCACATAATCATTCAAAATATCATGACTCAGTTTTCTAAACTGCTGTCATGGCAAAAAAAATGAATGTAAAACTTAGAGCCGACGTTAATTATTCAGACATTTTAAGCAAACTAAATATAAAATCGAAACTTCCCTCTTTCTGTTACATTTAGCGTAAGCCGATTGAATGTAACTCGGCGGTTTTTTGACTCAAAGTTCATATTTGCAATTCATTCATTTCTCGAGGTCATGAAAACACATAGCATTTATTCAGCAATTAATTTGCAATAAATTGCTAAGGTTAACGTATAGAATACAGCAAGGGAATGAATAATTGTTGTGCAAAAAAACATTTATATATCTGCCCAAAATGTATCTTTTTTTTTCTATGAACATTAAAAATAAAAAATAAAAATTCTATATTTCTTTGAAATAATGAAATAGAAAATTGGTACTTTTCCTTTTCACCGGTGCAATTCTCGTCAAGCAGGTTTTATTGGCGACAAAGCACAATATACACACAAAAATGTTATATATATATAAATGTTAGTTCTCACTGGTTTTTCATTTGTTTTTGATGTATTATGAAAAAGTCGTCACTGATAAGAAAAGCCCACTACTTATTTTGAAAATGATGTGGTAAAAGGTTACCAGCAGGAATATTCCGTTTGGCGTCGATTGTATCATTTTTGGCGACTTTATCGCTTGCCTCGGAGAAACGGGAAAATACCAAAAAATTTCTTTTGATGTTATTTGCCATTAATTAGATCTATGTTAACTATAGATGGGGATACCAAGAATATCATAAGATTAATGTGATCCAATTTATAACATTTAACGCATATCATGTATATTTGTCCTAGTAAATATTGAAACAAAAACATTTCTATTCCATACAGGCCATAAATAACTTATAAAAAAGTTTGAGGACATTTGAATATCTCACAAGTTTATGATCCTTTTGTCATAAAAACATCTTTTTATAACATAGGGGAATCTATCTCAACATGCAAAAATTTGAAAGTTGTAATAATTGTATATTTTGTTTTGTTTCTCGTTTAAATGTTTATTGCATCTGATTATTAACTATCTACAAACCACTTTTTCTATTGATTAACAACATAGATTTTCAAGCGCAAAAATATTTTCGAATTCAGATTTTTTTGTTTGTTTTTTGTTTGTTTTGTTTTTAAAATTTTAATTAAGACAAAGCAGACATGGATAACACAAAAAAAAAACACATGCACTTCGTTTAAAGATTTATTCACCCGAAGCAATAATTTATGAGAAATGATTCCTGTATAATTATGATAAAAAACGCTTCAATACCGAAATATTGTTTCATATAAATAAAAATAAAAACCTAATAAATACAGGAAAATAAATAAAAATACAGGAATCGAATTTTTCTCATTCGATATATAAAAAATAAGCGTTCGATAAAACTTATTTAGAAATTTTGAGACTTTTCACCGGCGCAGACGATAAAGTCGCAAAAATGATGCAACCGACGCCAAACAGAATATTCCCACCTTTTACTACCACATTTTCAAACAAGGCGTGGTCATTTTTCAATTCCTGCAACCAGTTCACTATCTCCCTATATATATATATATATATATATATATATTATATATTACAAAAAATAGTTATATACCTAAGATAACTATAGTCATGATAGAATAGATTTAGCCACAGAAATACTAGAGCAAACTCCTAGCCTTAGGAACCAGGAATGCAGGTTTAAACAATGTTTTTCGGCCAGCCAACAAATTTGAACACAATATATATATATATATATATATATATATATATATATATATATATTGTGTTCAAATTTTCAATCGTTAATAAAATACTTTATATTCATCCATTCGAGTTCAAATACATATTTTTAACTTACTATCATGTTAATACAGTTAATACACTTCATGTTAATACAGTTTTTTCCAAAAATTAATGCATTAATTAAATTAAAAATGAATAGCAGCAAAAATAATAGTCCAACAGCATATATAGAAAAAAGAAGTGCTTGTTGTGTTCCTGTAGCGAGATGGGTAGCGCGTTGGATTTCCAATCCAATGGTCGTGGGTTCGAATCCCACCTGGTACGGCCTAATTTCTGAAAATATGATTTATTTTTTAATGTACTATTTTATTAGAATAATTAAATGTAAGTAATGAATATAAAAATAGAGTAACAAACAAAAAAAATAGTCCAACACCATATATAGAAAGGAAAAAATGGATATATATATATATATATATACAATTTATTATTATTGTGCAAGGAAGTCGCTTTCTGTTTCGTCACTTAATATTGTGATTCTGTCATATGAATATACATAATTACATTAATTGTAACTATTTAATAAAAAGTACTAAAATAAAATTTTTCTTTGTTAACCTAAGTAGAAATTGGCTTAAAAAAATTTTTTTTTACATTGCTTATTATCGGTAATTTCTTTTTTATAATACATCAAAAATGGATGAAAAAAAGGATAACTGTGATATTTATTAATATTTTTGCTTGTATATTCTATGTTGTCGCTAACAACGCCAACTTGGCAAGATTTGTACCGAAAATTAGTGAAATTTTTAACTTAAAATACTTTTACAAAAACATTTATCCAATCAATACATGTATGCGATCGTGAACAAGCAAATAATAGCACATTCAATACTTAGATGAAATGGACAAAACTGGTATTATTGTATTGATTTATTAATGGGGTATAGTGACATAAAACATCAAGTGATTTCCAAAATTGAAGTATCGTTTACTGAGTCGAGAGCCTTTTCAGTTTTCTTACTTAAAAGAATTAGTCATTGAAAAGGAAATGTAAAAAGTCGTTTCACCATAATAGACATTTCCGAGATCAAATCAATTCATTACTCATAAAACATTTAACAAATATCGTAAAAAGTTGTACAATCGATATTAATGATGACCATTATTTATTTTTATTATTATACATCACTAATTTTTCTCGAGTCCCTTAGAATTAAATTTAAAAGATTTTGGTGACAATTAAAACACTAGATTATATATAAAACCTTTGAATTAATTCCTTTTCATGACTCATGGATATTTAAGGTACATTAAAAATCCTTTGTTTTGTAACTCATAATAATATATTCAAGATTATTCTTGTACGTTGATTTTTCTTAACGATCTAAAAAACTTAAATAGTGTATTACGGAGCATTGGTAAACATTTTAAATAATTTAATGTTAATTCTTTTTTATAATCTTATTAAGGGGACATGGTACAATTTATAAAAAAAAATTTATTAAAGGGTTTTACAATCTTTTTGCTTGTAATAAATGTATATGGATTACGTAAAACAGTTTTTGTGCTCAAAATACTACAAAAGACTAATCATTTAATTTTTTAAAGAAAAGTTTTAAAATTTATGAAGGGATTTTAAAATGTTACTCTTTCTACAGTAATTGACGTACATACATGAAATTTCATTTACAAATACATCAAGCAATGTATAACAAAAGTTGGTATGGATTTGTTTTTCTAACATGGTTATTATTTGTAAAATTCTTTTTTTTTATGAATGCTTATTGAAAATCCTTAAAAAATATATAATTTATAAATTCAACTATTTTTTCTAAAAAAAATAAGTATTAATTCGATTCAAAAATGCATACCGACTTTTGTTACATATACTATTAGCAATAGGTAGAAATAATTTCAAAGCATTAGGCACAATAGAAAAAAAGCCTTAACATTTTAAATAAAGATAAATGAGCTATTTTTTCTTCTTTCTAAGATAAATCCTTTTTAAGTTTTTATTTCCTATTGGTATGTGAGTAAAAACTAACATAGAAGGTATCATAACTCTGACTTTTTTTAATTTACAGTTTTCAAATTTTGTGAGGTTACGGAAAACAATATAAAAAATAATTTAGGCTAAAAAAAATTGTATTTCAATTTTTGACTTATTTTTGTCAGTTGAATCGTACTGTGTCCCCTTAAACATGCATTAGAACAAATAAAGCATTCTTTATTGCTATTGATAGAAGAATGAATACAAATCCAAATGACAGGCAAAAGCATTAGGATTCAGTTCATCTTTTATTCATGAATAAAATATTTGACATCGCGTTAACTATTTTTATTAAGAAAAATATATAAATTGATTTGTGAATATTATACATTCATAAACTTTCATAACGAAATTGTATTTATTTCAACATCTGTCTTAGGAAAACGCAATTGTATTATCGTGTCCTTATTCAGATGTGACTTCAGAAGAAGCGATGAAAACTCACTTCAGTTAAACTTTTTTTTCTTTTTTATCAGCACGTGTGCTGAAAAATGATCTTAACAGATAGCAAATTCATCAACATCCTCAATGTTACATTTTAAGAGAAATTTCTTCAGAAAATAATTTTCCTTTCATTGTAAATTATATAAAATTACACACAGCTCCTACATATGAATACAAATTCTGAAAATTTAATTTGAAAGTTTTTTAGTCGGAGGCAGTGAGCTACTCGTATTAATTTAAAAAATTATTTTCTGATAATATGATCACAATGAATCTTTGATACTATACCTTATATAAGTTTTTTCTATATCTTCTATAAGGAAAATTGAAATATTTTCCTTTTAACCAGTATTTGTGGTGGCCCATCCATTTTAGAATTTCTCTTAGTGTTTTTCCAACTACAGCTTTTCAAATTGTGTCAGTTAAATTTAATTTCTCAAATGGTTGTCAAAAATATATAGTTTTTTTCCTAACCAATTCTGAGTTTTAAAAAATACTAAAAATGCCATATTCATGATATCCTTTCATTAACAATATCTTAAAAACATTGACTGCAGATCTTTGAAATAACCTTTACAGAAACAGCAATATCGCACAAAACAAAATAAAACAATACGATTTGTATGTTTTATGAAACAATTTTTTGAGCATTATGAATTGAAAATCTCCTTGATTGCAATCGGATATATTACATGTTACTCTATTCTAGAATTCTACTTTAAGAGGGAGAGATTTCCTTTCTTTTATACAATAAATATTAAATTGATAAACATATTGTACGAAAGTTGAGTGCGTAACAAGTTATAAATTTTACATAAATTATATTAAACAAATGTTCGTGTAAATACCGTATTAGGAATTCTACTTTTAATTCTAGTTCTTATGAAAAAATTAAGTTTCTAAAAATCTTACTAATACATTTTGTAGCACATATGATATATATTTAATATTCAAAGGTTAGATTTAAGGATCTAATATATTATTCTTATTTTAATGGGAAGATTTATATCAGTTTTAAATGTCATAATATAATAATAGTTATGTTTTATACATATAAGAGACACAAAAACTTGGTCTGATATTCAAATTTGTCATTTAATAAATAGAAAACAGACTTATAGCCAATAACCAACTAATTAGCATTTAACTAGCACAAAACTTAGAAATATTACATATCGGTAAATAGTGTCAATATTAATTTATTTTAACAATCGAATTTTCTTTCAAGTTGATATAAATAAATAATTTTCAATTCTAAGTTGCTTACAAATATATATATATAACAAATAATAAGTTATAACTTTTTTTTAAAATTCTATAATAAGGGGAATAACTAGTTATTAAATAAAAATATGAAACATTTTTTTAACTGAAAATTAAACGTAATACAAACAAATAAAATCAGAGAATTTTATTAATAGGTTCAAAATTATATTTAAAAGTAATAAACTATTCAATCATTAACAACATTAAACACACAAAGATATAAATTATTCTTTTTTTTATATTCCCTTACTTCCTCATTGTAGACAAATCATCACGAAAAGATATTTTGTAAAAACTATCTCTTAAATTTTATACGCTATCTAGTTTTACCTTGAAAAAGTTATAAAATAAATCATTATGAAAGTTAAAAAAATATTTATATACTGATTCTTCTCACATCATGCAGAAAAAATAGGAAAAGGAGAAGTGAAAAGAGCAGAGGTTTCGCTGGTTGTTATTTCTTTTCAATCAGTAATTCCCTGTTTTAAGTTCAACCGAAATTTATAGCACTCTGCCAATTATAGTTCCAATTTCCTTTGTAACACCCATTCTTCATGAATAACAATTGGCATTTTGTCAAAGTTTTTCCCATGAAAATTTTTTGTGATGCAGATATAAAAACATCCGATGAATTATAATGGAGAATACATATTTCTGGTTTATATTATGTGTTCTTCAACACTATCGTATTTTTTTGGAGATATTTTAATGATTTCAGTTCTCGAAAAGAAGTGAAACAACTAGAAAATACAAAAATGTTAATGAAAATTCATAGTTTCAATTAAAAAATACGTGAGAGTAAAGCCTACAGTTTCTCTATTAATACATTCGGCATAATTTGGGAATGATATTTGATTTTATTTCTTAAGCTGTGGAAAAATTTTGAATGTTTATTCTTGTAACACGATTCAAGCAAAAATGTTAATTATGCACACACACTTACACTCACGCGCATACATATACAATACATATATATATATATATACCGTATTTATTCGAATCTAAGCCGCCATCAATTTTAAGCTGCATTCCAAATTCTCAAAGCGTTTTTGTGAAATAATGAAAAATAACGTAAAAAGGTTTATCGATATCAATTGTTTTTGAAATTTTAAAAAATTAAAATTAGAAATAATAAGGGATTAATAAGGAATAATTAATTTATTTAACAAATTTCAAAATTTTTAAATACAAACATGGCCCGGTTATTTCTCTAACACCATCAGCTTTATGCTCAATTTCTCCCATCCAACAAATTTTCCCGCCTTCGATTCTAAGCCGCACTTGATTTCGAATAGGTTTAACATTGGGAAAAAATGCGGTTTTGATTCGAATAAATACGGTATATATAATATATATATATACAGTCCAACACCTTTATTTCGAGAATTCCTCTATTTTACGAACTTTCTCCAGGCACCAAGAATATAAATTATATTGAAAGATGAATCTCTATTTAATGAATTTCCCACATAAGTATCAAGAAATGAAAATTTCCCTTTAAAATATATATGAACAAGTGAAAGATACTGAGTTTTGTGTTATATCTTGAAACTTTTCTAGT